TTTAGTTCTCCGATTAATTTCTTTCTATTTTTAGTAGAAACGGGGTCTCGCTCTTGCTCAGGCTGGTCTCGAACTCCTGAGCTCAAACGATCCTCCTGCCTCAGCCTCCCAGAGTGCTAGGATTACAGGCGTGAGTCACCGCATCCGGCCAACGCTGGGACTTTAATGCAGACCTTCTCAACTGATGTGACCAGGCAAGAGTTACAGATGTGCCAGCCGACCTTCAGGGTGGTGGGGTCTGGACAGAGCCTCGGGCCCTAAGCAGTGTCAACAATTCACCCTGGGGCTCCAAACAAGTACTATCATTTTCTGGGTGGGTCATGATGTGGAAAAAGAGTTAAGGTGCTAACTGTTGTGATAGGTATTAAAATTACAGTGGGAGAGGAGAGAATAAGTTCTGCCTAAAGCGCTTGTGAAGAGCTGAACCTAGACAGTAAGTGGGATTCCCACAGGCAGAAAGTAAAGGGAAGTGGAAAGTAGTGATTTTTTAAAATGCACAAATGCTGTGATTCTGCAATCCCCCTGTTGGGAATCTATTCTAAAGAAATTAAACTAGCAGGAGGTAAAGACATATGTACAAAGATGTTTATTATAGCCTTGTTTATCGTAGAAAAAACTAGAAACAACATAATTATGTCAACAGCAGAATGGTTGAATAAATTATGGTATATCCATGCTATGGAAAGTCTGTAGCTTTTAAAAAGAGATAATTAAATCTCTATGTGTTGACCTGCAGTTGTAAAAAAAAGTTGTATAGCAATGTGTATAGTTAGATTCATTTTTGTAAGGCAACAACTTATAAATGGGTATATGTTGATCTATGAATATGGAGAAAGGTGTAGGATACACTGATCTGTTAATATTGGTTACTTGGGTAATGGTGGTTAAGAGGGTGGTATTGGTTGACTAATTTTTCTTTTATAGGTCTCTATTGGTCTTGTTATAAGGATCTTTTTTTCCTTTTTTCTTTTTTTTTGAGATAGGGTCTGGCTCAGTTCCTAGGATTAGAATGCAGTGGTGTCATCCTAGCTCACCGCAACCTCAAACTTCTGGACTCAAGTGATCCTCCTGCTTTGGCCTCCCAAAGTGCTAGATTACAGGTGTAAGCCACCATGCCCAGCCACAATGATCTTTTTTAAATTGTCATTGAAGATTGGTGTTTTGGAGGAAGACACAAAGCCGGAAGCAAGAGGATGGGTGGGAACTGAGTGCATGTTTGTGACGGGGGCTCCCTTGTAAAATGTTAACTTCTTCCATGATTTCATTTCTATGGAAAGGAAAATTTAGTACATTTAGAGTTTCATCTCCTCTCTCCCTACTCTGTACATTCGTTTTTAATAACCTAACCTCAATAAAGAAAGTTACATCCACCTGTACACCTTGGCCAGGTGGCTTGAAGGAGACTGAGGTTTAGGACAGGGAGGGTAGGGGTGATCAGTTGACCTCTGTCTCTCTGCCGGACCCTCTGAAGACCACCCAGGAGACCCAGGCAGAGACCTGCAGAAAAGCAGAAAAGCGAGCAGAGGTGTGGCTTGTGGTCGGACAGTGGAGGTGGGGGGAGTGGCTTCAAGGGGACAAGCCAAAGTCAGCTCTCCCTCAGTGCTGGCGGGAGCGGAAAGAAACAGGGCGTACCTTTTCCCATCCACTGCTCCCCATTGAGGGCTATAGTGTAGCCTTGTGCTAGGGCTTAAGAGTGAACGTTTCCTGGTGTGTGTACCTCCTGTTACACACCAAGTCCATCAGTATGTTTTCCTGTATGTTTACCTAATTAGGCCAATTTTCCGCCCTAGAGATTAGGCATAGGAGCTGGGTTTGAAATTCTAATTTGGGAAAGATTTCTTATTTTATAGAAATGTCAACACAGTGGAATGAACTCTTAAAGGAAAAAAACTATACTCATTCTAGTTCCTTCCCTCAACCTTCCTTCTTTTAAAATAACATTTATTGTTGTTAGCTTTTTTGTGCCTAACACAGACTCAACGTCGAAAACTGCGAAAATTCAGTAAAGCACAGGCAACATTTTGGTCCCACGGTTTAGAGATAGCTGTGGACATTTTTCTTTAAACAGTAATGGGGGTATTGTGAACCGTTTTGTAAACTGCGTGGTTTTTTTTCCCTTTTCTACCACTTTCTACTTTTTTTTTTATAAGGACTATCTTCCGACCTTTGTCCACAGGCGGTCGCAGCCCTGGCCAACTTCCGTTGTCTCTTGTAGACCGTGGGCAGCGTACCGGCCCTCCCACCGCGAGGCTGCGGGGCCTTGGCGGGCGCGGCCCCTTTAAGGAGGCAGGCTCCAGGGGCGGGGGGGGCGCCCCCCGCGCTGATTGGTGGAGCTTGGAGCCACGTGGCAGTCTCTGGGCGGGGAGCCCAGCGGCGGGGCTCAGGCTGCCTGTCCCCAGGAAGGGGGCGAGTTGACAGATGTGCGTGAGGAGGTCCCTAATCGGCCTCACCTTTTGTACCTGCTACCTGGCTTCTTATCTCACGAACAAGGTGAGGGGGGCGGGCGCAGAAGGCGGTGATTGCACGGGGGAGATTTGCGTCCGATCATCATTCTGTAACAAATGCAGCCTCCCGCTTTTATCTCATTAATATTTTTTCTTCCTGATGGTGATGGAGAGGAAGCCGACTCCGTGTGGGATGCTGCTCCATGTGGGATCCACCACACCGGCTTGTAGAAATAGGATTTATTGGACTGCTCTGTCTCCCTTTTCCGTCCTGTAAAGCACCTTGTACGTCTCCTGGGAAACAGGATTTTTTGACTGGCCATTTCCCGGGAACTTAAGTTTGGGCTGTGTGGACTACTTTTAAGGGAAAGAAAGCAATTGGTTCCTGTTTCTTTGGGGAATGAAGAGTCCGAGAAGAAATCAGACACATCCTGCCTTCTTTTCTTTTCTTTTCTTTCTTTTTTTTTTTTTTTTGAGACAGAGTCTCACTGTGTTGCCTGGGCTAGAGTGCCGTGGCGTCATCCTAGCTCACAGCAACCTCAGATTCCTGGGCTCAAGCGATCCTTCTGCCTCAGCCTCCCGAGTAGCTGGGACTACAGGCATGCGCCACCATGCCCGGCTAATTTTTTCTATATATTTTTAGTTGTTCAATTAATTTCTTTTTTTTATTTTTAGTAGAGACAGGGTCTCGCTCTTGCTCAGGCTGGCTGCCTTCTTTTCTAAACACGCCCCTGCCCCAGAACCCCACAATGTTCCAGAAGCCTTTAAACGGAAGAGATTAATCCATCTCCCCCTCACACCACTGATTCCCAAACCTATGTTTTATGTTTTCATCCCAAATACTTAAGGTATATTCAAGAGTGTTTCATGGAATTATTTTTTAAAAATAAAACGTAAATTTAATTTAAGTTTAAAACGATGTTGTAGAACGCTTCTCATGAGGAGGCAGAGAAGCAGTGGTGCCATGTTTTGGTTTTTGTTTTGTTAGGAGAGGGAAGCTGGCCCTCGGTTTGGTACCATGCAGGGAAATCTGGGACCCAGTGGGCCTGGGTGGGAAGTCACCTGCTGATCTGGACTCGGGCTGGCCCAAGTCAAACTGGTGATATGGGGCTCACGACCACCTTGCCCACTGTGGGGTCTCTTCTGTGGGGTCCTTACTTCCTCTTGCTCCTCATTCTCTGGAAAAGGAGCATCAACAAACAGCATTTCCTTCTCCCTTCTCTCTTAAAGTGAGTGACTGTCTTTAGTATATTCAGAGGATGCTCCCAACTGCTTCCCCTCTCCAGCTGATTTTTAGTTAAGGTGAGGGGCTTTGAAGATCCATAAACGCTGCCTTACTGAGAGGCAGTGATGGGTTTACATCCCGGCTCCACTTACTTGGCCTTTGGGACCTTAACCCCTGTAAACCTAAGTGTTTTAACTCTCAGACAGGATAGAGAGTTTTCTTAAAAGAGTTATTGTGAGAGTCAATGGAAATGATGTTTGTAGGGTGGTTGGCCGAGTGCCCACCATCATGGTAAATGCTCCATAGGTGGTAGCCACTCTGGAAGACAAGAAAGGACAATCTTTTGTTTATGGCATGACACAGTAATTATTAACTTTTAACAGATTTGTTTTTTTCTCATGAGGCAGGTAGCTAAATTTAAAAAGATATTTTGTTTGTAGCTCCTACTCAGGAATATGTGAATTTGTAAAATCCTGGATTTTTCAATTTAACTATTCTAATTTGTCTAGCTAACCTGATGGCTATATTGATAAAGTTTTACTTTTAAAAAGAATAACCATCCTTTTATTTACATATAATTATTAGAAGGGGTCATAGTAACATGACTGACATGAAAGCCCACAAGCCATGGCATTGGTTAGACAAAAAACATTTTATCTAAGCAAAAAAAAAAAAAAAAGCATCCAGCAGGCAAACAGCATTTAGTGTATAGAAATTTATTCCCCCATGTACATTTGCATTTGTAGCATTATTATTATTATTATTATTATTATTATTTTGAGACAGGGTCTCACTTTGTCACCCTGGGTAGAATGCTGTGGTGTCATCATAGCTTACAGCACCCTCAACCCCTGGGTTCAAGTGATCCTCTCGCTTTAGCCTCCTGAGTAGCTGGAACTACAGGCACACACCACCACACCCGGCTAATTTTTTCTATTTTTGGTAGAGATGGGGTCTCGCTCTTGCTCAGGCTGCTTTTGAACTGCTGAGCTCAAGTGATCCTCCTGTCTCAGCCTCCCAGAGTGCTAGGATTATAGGCATCAGCTACCATACTCAGCCTGTAGCATTATTTTTTTTTATTTATTGGTACCATACACCATTTTATGATTAATTTAATAAAGACTAAATACCTTCCATGTGCATAATGCCTCAAGGTGTTAGATAAACCAAATTCTCAGGTCCCCAGGAATATATAATCTGAATAATAGAAATCATAGGTGGTTTGGAATGCTTTGGCTGGGGGCTGTTGGGAAATGTCAGAGCTAAAGAGAGAGAGTAGGACAGTAACAGCAGAAGGCAGGAAAGAAGGGGAGACAGAGGAGATTGTCTAAAGAGGGAGGCGGATGTGAGGTCCAGGGTGGAGGAGAGGAGATGGGAGGGCCAGGTGGGGGTATGAGAGGTGGCTGAACATAACACAACTCTGGTGAGGAACTTTGTAACTCTTAGAAGCTCAAACCTTCTATGGCCATTGTTTCATCTTCTCAACCAGGACAGTGAAGCTTCCTTCCCACAACCAAGGCCACGTGGGTCGGCTTGGACCAAGTAGAGGCTAAATGGGAAGAAATCTGTTGAGCGTACACCCCATAAGCATATCCTCCTGCATCTAGTCTGCCAAAGTAATTTTCTTTGTAATTAGTGAAGATTTTTTGTGTCTACAGTAGAGGATTCTCTCTTAGAGCTTTTCGAAGACTCTGTGCTAGTTTCTTTATTTCCATATCTCTCTCCATTAGAAAGAAAATGCTTTTAAAAAAAATCTTGTATAGCTCGTTCTAAGCCCTTCTACATTTAAAAGAATGGTTCATGTTTGTTTGAAGTTTGAAGCAGCAGTGTGCTGTGAAAGGAAGCTGGTCTAGGTGGGGAGGGAGGAGAAAGCATCACACCCTTGAGTTCTGGCTTTGGTGGCCTGGGCTGGCCAAACGTGAATGACATGGTCCTCTGTCCTGTGGGAAGTTCCGGCAGTAACCAGGGTCCAGGTAGCCACCTGTTCTTCTTCTCCTCACAGGGATTGAGTCTTCAGCCTGGAGGCAAAGTCCATTCTTGTTTAGAAACAAGTGGTTGGCATCCTTTTTTAAAAAATTTTTTGTAGAGACAGGGTCTTGCCATGTTGCCCAGGCTGTCCTTGAACTCCTGGCCTAAAATGATCCTCCACCTTGGCCTCCCAAAGTGCTGGGATTATAGGCATGAGCTACCACACCCAGCTAGCATCTTGAAATATAAAAAAATGCATTAAATTAATAAGAAATATACTTAAACCTCAGTGAAAATAAATGGGTAAAAGGCACAAATAGACAATTCACTCAGTAAAGAAATATGAGTGGATAATAAACATGAGAAATTTGCTATGCTCCTTTTTATATTTTATTTTTTTTTTTTTTTTTTGAGACAGAGTCTCACTCTGTTGCCTTAGCTAGAGTGCTGTGGCATCAGCCTAGCTCACAGCAACCTCAAACTCCTGGGCTCAAGCGATCCTTCTGCCTCAGCCTCCCGAGTAGCTGGGACTAGAGGCATGCGCCACCATGCCCGGCTAATTTTTTCTATATATTTTTAGTTGTCCAGTTAATTTCCTTCTATTTTTAGTAGAGATGGGGTCTCACTCTTGCTCAGGCTGGTTTCGAACTCCTGAGCTCAAACAATCCACCCGCCTTGGCCTCCCAGAGAGCCAGGATTACAGGCGTGAGCCACCGCTCTGGGCCTTGCTATGCTCCTTTTAAAGGTTCCTCCTGCTCTTTGTGTTTCCTTGAGAACCTCCCTGCTAGGGCCTTGCTGTTCTGCCAAACAGCATTTTGCTCTGAGCAACACTTCTCAGTGAAGTGAGGAATTGCTGAAAGGGGACATTTTGGGGACTTAGATTCTATTTGTTGTACATTTTTTTTTCTCTGTTCTTCAGCAAGGGGAGGTTAAGATCTTCAAGATCTTTGATCTTCCCCAGTATCTAGGCCAAAACTAAACACACAATAAACTAAATAAATAGCTGTTATCATAATGACGCTTGTTAAGGGTGTTATGGGACATGACTCAGATGCTCACTTACTCCTGTCCCTTTCTCTATTTTAGAATACGAATCTCAGGGAGGAGGAGGGGGGAGCATATTGAATTATGTGAGTAAATAGACTTCAGGGGAGAATCATAAATATAGGACAGAGCACAGGCCATCAGCCTAATGGTGGCATTTAGGAGCTCAAACAAGGGAGATGCTGTGTGGGCTGATCCCTGGGGGAAAAGCGGATGTATAAAGTTGCCAAACACCAGTCCATCCCATTTTTTTAGATCATGTGAAGAATCAGTAGAGTCCTTGCCTAAAGCCATTTTAGACTTTTGAAAAATTCTTAAAAGTGTTCAATAATAGGACAAAATGGAAAAAGATACCCAGGACAGAACACAATTCCTTTGTTCATGAAGTACTAGAAATTTGATTAAAAGACATAAGAGAAATACAATATGACCTTAACTGAATTTTTAAAAAAATCCTTAAAATGCTAACCACAATAAAAATTATGATATCTATGCAAAATTAGTTAGAAAAAAATCCTTTAATGCAAAAAATAAAAAGTAAAAACCTAAAAATTAAAGGAGAACAAAGGAAAGAAAGACTAGGATGCAGTTCTTCTCAAAGAGAAACAAAGAAGGGATTAGATTTTTAGGTAATCCGGACAGTAGATGAAGTAGATACCCTGACAACACAATCTGTATCTAGGGACTTGTCCAGTTTTCTCTGGAGTTGCTATGGTTACAACGTGACATTTTCTGGGGTCTGGGAGGATGCTGAGTGTTTGGGCAGGGGACCCAGATGCTCTGCTTCCTGGGTTGTTTATGATGCCAACTCTGCTCCCCAACTAAGAGGATCAAACTTCTGGTGGCCCTGGGGAAAAGTAGGCTCACTCTCTTTAGTATGACTTTGAAGGTGATTTGTTTGCCCATTTGAAGTGTCCAATAATCTGGTATTTGTTTTTCAGTATGTCCTGTCTGTCTTGAAATTTACCTACCCTACCTTATTCCAAGGGTGAGTATCTTTTATGCTCTGTATAAAGGTTTGTAGGAAATGTACAACTAATATCATTAAATGTTCTTTGAAATAGTTTTAATGACTGCGTATGTTTTTTTTGTCAAACATAATTTATTTAGCCATCCTATTAATGGGCATTTAAATTGTGTTCCATTTTAGTGGTATAAAAACAATATTATCGGATATTTTTGTGTTCAAATCTGCCAAATTTCCAGCTATTTCTTTGGGATACATTCCTACATAAGAAATTTGGGTTAAATTATGTGAACTTCTTTAATATTCTTGAATATTAATAGATTCTTTTACCAAAATGTTCTACCAATTTACATTACCACCCAACCTGTATATGAAAGTTTCTGTACTAATGTACTTAAACTGTGACTATTTTTTTTCTTTTCTGATTTCATGAGCAAAAGGTATATTTTTTGTCTTATAATTTCTTAGATTATTTCTGAAGTTGGACAGTTTTCTTATGCTTATCCACTCGTGTCTTTTTTCAGATTATCTATTTATGCCTTTTATTCACTTATTTTCACTGAGGTTTTAGTATGTTTCTTATTAGTTTAATGAATTCTTTATATTTTAAGGATGCCAACCATTTGTCCATCATCTTTATTGTAAAGATTTTTTTTTGTAATTTGTTCTTTGCCTTTTAGCTGTTTATAATTATTTCGATTATTTAACTATTTTATTTTTATGTGGACTAATATATTGATTGTTTCTTTTGCAATTGCTTCCTTTGCTTTTCCCTGTATTCTTCCTCATCACAAGATCATTTAGATATTCACCTATATTTTAGTAAAGATTCATTCAGTTTTTAATCATTGTCAGTTTATTTTAGTGTATGGTGCAATGTGAGGAAATTGTCCCTCCCCCAATAGTTAACTTATACTAGCCCCATTTATTGTATAATCCTTTCTTTTGCCTTTGGGTTCTTAATATCATATATAGGCATTCCTGACTTACGATGGTTTGACTTATGATTTTTGACCATATAATGATGCAAAAGCAATATGCATTCAGTAGAAACCGTACTTCCGATTTTGAATTTTGATCTTTTCCTGGGCTGGCGATATGCCGTATGATACTCTCTTGCGATGCTGGGCTGATGGGGGAGTGTGAGCTGCAGCTCCCAGCCAGCCATGCTGATGTAAATGTTCTGAGCACATTTAAGGTAGGCCAGGCCAAGCTATGATATTCCATATGTTAGGGATACTAAATGTATTTTTGACTTACGGTATTTTCAATTTATGATGGGTTTGTCGGGACGCAACCCCATTGTAAGTTTAGGAGAGCCCGTTTAAAGTCATTTTCCTAGGGTCTCTTTTTGGGTACTTATTTGTCAATTTTTGTGGAAAGGGGCCAAGGCTGAATTGTTTTAAATTATTGTGCTATTTACATATGTAGTAGAGCAAGTCATGCCTCATTCCTCTCCTTTAAAAAACAATTCTTTATATTATCACCAATAAATTATTTCAGGTGATCTTTAGAATTACTTTGTCAAGTTCCTCTCTAATATTTCATAGCAAAAGTTTTAAAATACTGTCTGTGATGATGTGTATTTTAGTCAATAAAGCTGGGGTATTGTTTTCTCTCTTAGTGAATAGCAGGTGTTTTCTGGCCCTGCTTGACCTGTCATGTCTCTCAGGTAGAGGGACAGGAACTTAGGAGGGTAAGGGGCTGGTACACCTGGGTTGCCTTCCCCTTTCTTGTCCAGGAGTCAGGTTGGATGCGCCTCTCCCGTAGAGTGTAAGATCCGCAAAGGCAGTTTTGTTTTGTCCGTTTTGTCCCTGGAGCATCCCCAGTACCCAGGACAATGCCTGGTGCACAGGAGGTGCGTAGTAGGGCAGGATAACTTAGTCTGCAAATATTTTTTGGTACTTCTCTAGATACTGGGGGTTCATCAGTGAAGAAAACAAAGATTCCTGCCCTCGTGGAGCTTGCTATTCATATTTTCAAAATGGGTGGGTCCCCAGTGTGAAGTCCCAGCAACTTGGCATGATTGAGGATCAGCTCCCTGTCTCCAGTGTCAGCTCTGACCACCCCCTCGAAGGCCCAGATGCTAAGGTCCAGACCAGGTGAACTTCTCTGAGAAGCTTTGCACAAGCCATTGTCTCTCTTACCTCTGTGCCTTTGTCCCTTCTTGGTCTTCTGCTTCGAACGTGCTTCAGGTTTTTGCTCAAATTTACTTTCTCTGAGAAGTCTTACCTGCCTACTAGACTAGCTTAGTCACCTCGGTAGGGTGTCTTGTAGTACCTGGTACTTTTCCTATTAGGGTTCATCGCACTTTTATAATTATTGGTTAATTATCTTACTTTCCGCCAGACCAGGGTTTGTCAATCTCGGAATGACGTTCAAGAGTTAACATGTTGAGGTGGATACTTCTTTGCTGTGGGGACTGTATCCCTGGCTTCTACTCAGTAGATTCCAGTGGCACAGCCTCCGCTCCCACCCCGAGTTGTGACAACCGAAAATTCTCTAGACACTGCCGAACATCCCCTGGGGAAAAATCGCCTGACTGAGACCCACTGCTCTAGACTAAGCTGTTTGAGACATAGCCCGCATTCGGTCTGTTCAGCTTGGCTGGGTCAGTGAAGCTTCACAAAGGAGACTGCAAGTTGGGTCTTACAGGCTGAACAGGTGATCACCAACACGCAGGACACGGAAAGGACATTCTGGGGCAAGAGGACAGCACGTCTAGACTCTCGAAGTGTGACATGGCCTGGCACATTCCTGAGGCTGGGGGCTGTTCAGTATGGCTAGGATGTGGCTGCCCATGACAGACAGACAGGAGCTGATCCTGGAGGGGGCGGGCGTAAGTCCCAGGGGGCTTATGTGTCACACACAAGTGACTTTGGCCTATCGGCCAGGGGTTTCAGCTGTAGTGTTACAACACATGGGTGTGTTGTAGTCACTTCCAAGGCATCTCAAGTCATTTATAACTAAAAATAGGGTTTTGAAATTTATGAATTATTCACCTAAAATAAAAAAGCAATTAGAGTGAGACTCGCGCTCACTCACTTGGCGTTTTGATGTGCTTCCTACAGTGGCAGGGGGAGGGGTTGACCTGTGCTGACCCCCGCCCTGCGCATGCTGAGGGTGGCGTGTCTCACGTGAGCTTCATGACCCCAAGTGTGTGTGGGCAGAAAAGGGGCTGAGGGCTGCTGCCTACAGCACCAGGAAGAATCATCCGTTTTTAAAACAAGCTAGTGGCACTATTAAATCTGCATTTAGAACAAACCGTTTCACTGCAAAGTAGAGAATGGATAGGGAGGAGACCCTGGAGTGAGGGGGACCAATCAGGGAACTAATGCTGTGGGCCAGGTGTGGGACGCCTGAATTAAGGCAGGGGCAAGAGGGATGGAGGGGAGGCTTTGGATTTGGGTGCTGTGATAGGGTAAATAAAATCAATAGGATTTTGCACGTAGGTGAGGGAGAGGAGGGCAGAGGAAGGGCTGGGATGCCGTCTAGGTTTCTGGTTTGGTGGATTAGGGATAGTAGGATAGTAGGACTTAGGGAGGTTCTAGGTGATGTTTTAGGCACATTACAGTTGGGAGCTGTGGGAGGTCACTGTGACAGTATCCGGGTGAGAATAGGGGCGTAGGAATCCTCAGGGCAGAGGAGAAGCAGTGGCTGCGGGTGAGGTTGTTCAGAAAATGTCTAGAATAAGAAGAGAATCAATGTCAGCACTTACTGGACAGCTGGACTCAAGGGGATAGTGGAGGTTGGGAAGGAAAGGTCTGAGAAATGGGATAATTGGGAGAGAGTGGGAGAAAAGAGTTGCAAAAAGAGTGAAAAGTGTCTATTTGTGTCCATCAGCAGGTCTCCTGGGGCTGGGTGGCCTTTGAGACCTCACGCTCTATGAAATTCACATGGGCTCTTGTCCTTTCAGGTGGCAGACGTTCGTTGGTGGACTTCTGCTTCATGTGTCATGGAAGCTGGGCTGGGTGGAGATCAACAGCAGTCTCAGGTATAACAGCCTCTCTGTACTGGACTCATGTTCACACCCTGCATGCTTTTGATATTATTTAATTTCTTTTTTTTTTTCGGAGACAGGGTCTTGCTCTGTTGTCCAGTCTGGAGTGCACTGGCATAGTCATAACTCACTGTAATCTCCAACTCCTGGGCTCAAGCGATCTTCCCACTTTGGCCTCCCAAAGCGCTGGGATTACAGGCATGAGCCACCTCGCCCAGCACGATACCATTTAATTTATTATGGTGTTGCACGGGAAACACAGATGTTTGAGTTGTTTGGTCTCTTAGGTCCCTTCTAACCTTGAGATTCAATGATTTTATAATCAGAGAAAACTCCGTACAGTTTTCCTGGTTAATAATGCCACTAATATAGTATTAAAATTAATTGAGGCCAGGCACAATGGCTCACGCCTATAATCCTAGCACTTTGGGAGGCCAAGATGGGAGTTCAGGACCAGCCGGAGCAACACAGTGAGACCCTGTCTCTACAAAAAATAGAAAAATTAGCTGGGCGTGGTGGCACACACCTGTAGTCCCAGCTACTCCGAAGGCTGAGACAGGAGGATTGCTTGAGCCCAGGAGTTTGAGGTTGCAGTGAGCTATTGTGACGCCACTGTACTCTAGCCTGGACAATACAGAAAGACCCTATTTAAAAAAAAAAGTTAATTGAGATATACATTTTATAATACATATTAATTTGGCTTTGTTTTAGATCATAGGATCACTGTGAATGGGATATATCAGCTTTAAATTTTTTTTAATTAGTCAAGTGCAGTAGTGAGAAGGGAGCAAAGAGTAAAACAAGGAGTTCCATGTGTCACTGTGAGCAATCCCTCCAGATAACTCAACTGTAAACTTTTTATTTTGAAATTATTTCCTACTTACATAAAAGTTAGACTAGTACAAAGAACTCCCATATCTGTTACTCACATTCCCCAGTTATTATTTTACCATGCTTCTCCTACCATTTTCTCTTGATGTACTGTGTGTGTGTGTGTGTGTGTGTGTGTGTGTGTGTGTGTATGTATGTATGCACTCTTTTGCCTGGGCTACAGTGCAGTGATGTGATCATAGCTCACTGCAACCTCAAACTCTTGGGCTCAAGTGATCCTCCTGCCTCACCCTCCCAAGTAGCTGGGACTACAGGCATGCGCCACCATGCCTGGTTAATTTTTTCTATTTTTGGTAGAGATGGGGTCTCATTCTTGCTCAGGCTGGTCTCAAACTCCTGACCTCAAGTGATCCTCCCACCTCAGCCTCCCAGAGGGCTGAGATTACAGACATGTGCCACTGCACCCGGCCACCCCTAGCTAAACTTCTTAGAGGCCTTTTCACCCCTCTCTCCTGGACTTCTCTAGGTGGTTTCATATTCACACATATGATGTCAGCTCAACTAAACTTCTTGTCAAAAATCCCCATGTCTCATGGTTAGTAACTATTGGCACAGCTCAGGATTTCCAGTTACCATGGGCCCTTGGCAAAGGGGTGTTACCAGATGGCTAGCAGAAGGATCCAGAACCAGTGTTCTTTCATGTGTACTCAGGCTGGGTTTGTGTTTGCTGTGGCTGCTGTTTCCTACTGGGCTTGGTTTTCTGATTATGTCATTAGGGAACAGAAGTCCAGCTTTACTGGGTAACTGTGTACTGGTGCAGAGATAGCAGAGGTTTGGCTCTACTAAAAATGGAAACTTTACATCAGAACAAAATTTTATTGTTTTTTATTTTATTATTATTATTTTTTGAGACAGAGTCTTGCTCTGTTGCCCTGGCTAGAGTGCAGTGTCATCATCGTAGCTCACTGCAACCTCAAACTCCTGGGCACAAGCGATCCTCTTGCGTCACTCAGCCTCCTGAGTAGCTGGGACTACAGGCGCATGCCACAATGCCTGGCTAATTTTTCTATTTTTAGTGAAAACAGGGTCTCTCTCTTGCTCATGCTGGTCTCAAACTCCTGAGCTCAAGCAATCCTCCTGCCTCGGCCTCCCAGAATGCAGATTATAGGCGTGAGCCATGGCACCTGGCCCAAAACAAAATTTTAAAGTAAAAAACAAAAATAAGAAAAAAAATTGGAAATAGCAGGAAGACAATTTGGAGTCCTGAAGGTTATTATGGAGCAGGGATTATAATGGTGGGTCTGGAGGGTGGATCCTAAATTGGCACTGAATAGTATATGTCACAGAGAACTCATTTCGACTGCCCTCTACCCTGGAGCACAGAGTCCCAGAGTCCCCCTCAAATGAGCCTCAGAACCTGGCAACGCATTTCTTACACTGCAAAGAGGCCGTATCTGCTGTGTCTGTCAGTCTCTGGCCATGTCACGTAGTGGCTCTACCTAGAGACCTTCTGGAGTCATTCTCCTCCCAAGATGTTTGCCTGGAGACCACCAGTCTTGGATGACGCCCTTAGAACCTTCTGTGTTGGGACAGATAGCACTGTTTTACAGCCACTAGCTTGTCATTACATTGGCAGCTACTGCTGTTGCCAACCCGTTGCAGAACACCGAAGTGATTTTTCCAGCAGATGCTGAAGTCCTTTGCTGAAGGCTTCTCATAATTCCCAAAAGTGATCCTAAAAGAACATTTGACCTGTTCATCTGACCGGACATCTGGTAAGCACAGTGAGACCATGGAATTCTTTTCTGGATTCTGGACAGACTCAGGTGTGATTTCTTTGGAGACTTCAGATATAGTCCTCTAAATCCTATATTGCCAGGCTACATGTTTAAATAAGAACACTTCGAAAGTAATTTGTAAACTACATGCCACTTTTTGCCCATTATAAATAAGAGACCAAATTTTGAACTCTCGAGCTTTCAAGGATGACACATTCTAAGTTAAAAATTCTATGCCACGATACCTTCGTGACAAGACATTTCTGAGATGAAAAGAAGCCCCTACCCCTTGATTTTCCATCAAGAATCTTTACTGGAGAACCATAACAAATTTCTTTGATGAAACCTACAAATTAGCACTGTCCGTAAAGTAATGAACAGCTAACGAATTAGGGTTCAGATTGTATTAATACTTATTTTTTTTTAATTATTTATTTATTTTTAGACATAAATTTTATTTGTTTTAGAGATAAATTCAGAACAAAATGAGAAACCTGGATACACGTACTATAATGAACTTTACAATTCTCTTGTGCCAACAGGCTTTATATTTTATATTTTATTTTATTTTTTTGAGACAGAGTCTCACTCTGTCACCCTGGCTGGAGCGCAGTAGCACAATTGTAGTTCACTGCAGCCTTGAACTCCTCAAGCAATCCTCCCACCTCAGCCTCCCTTGAGTAGCTGGGAGTACAAGTGCATGCCACCATGCCCGGCTAACAAATATTTGTTAATGGGCTATTATTTCATTTTGAGCGACTTGAAGTTTTATAAAAAGTCATCTTTGCTCATAGAGGAACGTTAGCCCCCAAAATTTATATGTTTTTGATACTTTTCCCTGTTGTTTTCTCTCCGGAGGAGTGCTTTACATATATATGTAGAAATTCCTTTTTAGGGATAATGAAACCAACTTGCGGAAGTCCCTCAGGAAACCTACTGAGAGCCACTGAAAAGACATAGTGCTGAATAAAATCTGAGGGGTCTTGGCATGGCGATTATGGTAGTTTTGGGGAGAAGTGTCCCCGAGGCCAGGGAAGGCAAAAGGATGGGATTTTCTGACCTTGGATGTGGGTTAACGCCTGCAGGGCGTGCCTGTAGCTCCCAGGCATAGGAGGCGGCTGAACTCCAGCTGTGTTAATAGACCGCACCTCATGGCGCTGTCTCTGTCCATGAAGCCCCTTTCTGGGGGCTCCCCACAAGGCTAAGTGAACATGTTAAATGTGAGATTCCTCAGCCCCGAGCTCACAGGCATTATGTGTTGCATATTACCTTGGATTTTCCCCCATTCATGGGTTGTGTACTGGCAAGGTGCTTGTACTTGGGTTTCCTTCTTTCTCGCCTTTTCTAGAAACAAGATTTGCATCTCTTCTCTCCCCCTTCACTTACTATTCAGGAACCTGGGAGACTCATATCTTTTTTCTTTCTGTTGACTGCATTTCTTCATGCCCACGTCTCCTCTGTTATCCTGTGCTGTACCTGCAGTCTATCTCCTGAGGCTCCCTCAGCGACACAGCTGGCCTCGGTCCGCCCAGGGGAGGGCTGAGGTGCATGGGGCGGCGGTGGAGGGCGACTGCCCTGGCGGTGGAGGCTGTGGGGCAGCAGGCTGAGCACTGCACAGGGTCAAGGCCTGGCCATGCGGTGTGGAGGGAGAGTGGTGGCCTTTCAAACTTGGCAGTGTTGGGAGCTGCGAACTGGTTTCTCTGAGGCTCTAGCTGGCTCTCAGGGATTGTTAGAACCTTCCTGAAGATGACAAGATTTCCTTTTCAACATGAACAGGATTACATGTGGAGAATCTTGGACCAGGGAATGAAACATGAAGTGGAAAAAGTGATGATTCTCCATGTTTAGAGAGGTGGGAAGAACCAGTGAGGAAAGTGCCCCAAGAAATGGAACTTTACAGAAACCCAGTGGTCGCATGGGCCTTCGTGTGGAGTCAGGGCACAGCCTTGCGTGTGAAGCCTTGGGTCCTACAGCTAGTACATTCTAGAGGTTGGGACCCAAGCTGCTTTACCCTAAATCATGGCAGCAAATGAGCCAGGAGTAAATATTGTAGGCTTTGTGGGCTATACAGTCTCTGTTGCAGCTACTCAGCACAAAAGCAGCCATAGACAATATATACATGGGTGTGACGGTGCGCCTATAAAATGCTGTTTTCCGAAACAGGCCGCAGGTGGGACTTGGCCCATGGGCCATGGTGTTCCGCCTCCTGCTCTAAATTGTGTTCTGTAGGATTGTCACAGGGCTCTTGGGTTCGAGTAATATTAGGACTGGACCCTGTCAAGGGAATATGATCTTCCCTGAGTCAGGAGGAAGAGTACAGAGTGAATGAGAAAGTTCCAAGGAAAGTAGGAAGAAGGGAGAAAAGGGGCAATAAGACTGAGTAAC